ATATTTATTATGATTATATTGAATTTTCTTTTTTAAATTTTGAGAGCAATAGAATTAAAAATTATCCTTTTTTTATTTTAAACTTAAATTAGCTCATCTCAAAATAAATTTAAATAGTAAAAAAAATTTCTTTCTGGTATCCTATCCTTATTATTATTTTTTTATTTGCCACAAAATTGCATGGTTGACTTTTATTACCCACGTGATATATAAGGTTCACGCGATTCTGGTGATCATAATGAATACTTCGCTGCCAAGCTACAGTGACATTATGCTTCAGAAGACAGTTTTCTGAACAATTCTTCACTCCCAACTTCTGAAGCAATCCATTTAATTTGCAGTGTATCAAAATAGAATTTTAGTTCCTTAATCTTGACTGAATAATTAGGATTGAATTTAATTATTTATTAAAAATAATCTGATTTTGTTATATATATATTAATACTGACCGCCCGTTTTGAGATTTAAGTTTCGTTTGGGACGGCTATTTTATTGCTTCATAAAATAATTTTTTAGTACAAAATTTTTATACTAAAAAACTGCTTTAAGAAGCAAGAAGAAAACAGCCCCAAACGAAGCTTTAATAATTTAGGCTTTATTTGTGACGGCTTTTTTAATACTTTTTAAAATACCTTTTTAGTAACAAAATGTCAATTCAAAAAATTTTATAACTAAAATGCTGCTTTAAAACATAGTAAAAAAAAGGCCATAAATGAAATCTTAATGACTAATTATTTGAAGTATTGGAGTTTACGAATTTTTAATTAAACAATTTAATATTTTATTTCATTATAAGATTAAAAAAAATTGAAATTAAACACCTTACTATGCACGTTATCAAAACTACAATTATAAAACTAAAATTGTAACGATGAAAATGAAATAATATTAAAATATAGTCAAGCAATTTTATAAATTTATTTGTAGGCTACAAAAACATTTTATATTTATTGAAATAAGATTTTTTTTAATTATTGATATATAATTTTTTTAAAAAAAAATTTTGGCGGATATTATCGTAAATGCAAGAGAATATTTTATTAGCAATTTAAAGTTTTCTATTTATTGATTCTGAAAACATAAATTTAATTGAAATTATTTTAATATTTTATTTTATCAAATTTATAATCATGTTATTATTCTTGTTAATTTAAATCAATAAAAAAGTTATTTAGTTAATATTAAAAAACATATTTGATTTTTCAGTTTTTATAAAAAATTACAATTTTAAATATTAATTGCTTGATAAAGTTCCATAGCTTAGTTATATATATTGTTTTCATTTAAACAATAATGAATTATTGTTGCGTCCTAGAGTATTAGCGACGGTAGAGAAATATTTAGTTTAACGTCTTAGCATTATACGAAGATCTAGCACACAAACAGATAAGTGAGAGGGTGTAACATTCATAAGAGACACCAAAGTTTTTACGTGGAAAACCCCTTAAAAGGGGGAAAAACCACGGGGCTTGACCCAGTTTGAATGAATCCACTAGTATTTGCAGTCGATTACAAATGAGGCCCTTCCTTGGGAGAAGGCCTTGGATTGATGTAGTAAATGTACATCATATAGATTGCATTACATGGTAGGAGTTACATATACATGTTTGTTTGGAA